TATGACTTTGATTTATACATTGTTGTTCAGCCCCGAAAGCTGTGACCTACAGGAAGACCATTTAAAGCGAAAAGAATGAGCCGGCTAATGAACACAATAGGGTTGTAAAGTTGGAAAACCTGAGTGGAAGAGATCCTGCTTACTGCCTGTGTCTCGGAGCCTGGTCCCAGCGAGAGGGAGGGAGGGAGGAGCTGCTGTCACAGTCTTGTCTAGCAAGCGAGGTTTGTGTTGGACAGAGCAGCAGCAGGAGATCCTCTCCGACCAAGAAGGAAAGGGCTTTCTTCATCTCTGGCTTCCAGGTGAGCTGCTGAGATAGATGTCTAATAGTGACATTCAGAGAGTTCGTGTGGCTTCTTGATCAGCATCATCAGGTAGTGGCTGGGTTAGAGTAGGAGATACTCTACATTTTACTGAGTTTGTTTCTCGTGTGTAGCTCTGTTCTCAACTCATCTCATATCTGAGAACTGTACCCTCGCTTTGCTGTTAGTGAGTTTCTTAGAACTTGGTGTTTAATTGGGGAATCTGACTAGAACAAGAAGATTGTTCTTCTCCAGAAACAGCAAATCCAAACGAGACAGGCATAGACCAGCTCGTTTGATGCCTGTAGGCTGGAGAAAGCTCAGGAATTCTGAGCACTCGAGTGGCTTTCCCCTAAGCTGTAAGAGCTGCTTGGAGAGTGGGTAACTCCAGGTGTCGGGTCTTGGAGAGCAGTGCCATCATCTGATGTCTGTTTTGGGCCATCCTAAGATACTTACGGGATCGAAGACAAGTTGCTCATCACTACCTTTTGCCTTCTGAAGGGCTGGTGACTCCCTAAGGGGGAGGATCAGAGCTCAGTTTTCTCAGACGACGCTGAATGTTGTCTGGCCGTCTGGTTAATCGGTCCATCAGACCTGAAGCCAGGAAGAATGGGGTTAGCTTGATCATAGTGACTCTGGGCCTCTGTGAAAACCTAGTGCACAGAAGCCTGTTAGCTGCACTGTAGGAGAATTGGTGGTTATTTATTATTTTATATGTGGGTAATGAAGGTCGTGTAAAGTACAAGTTTCTACAGCGTGGCCATAAAGAAGGTGAACCTGCAGGCAGTTCCTTACTTTTAAATCCTATCTTTTTCATTCATTCACCTCATGGTAGAGACTAATAATGCTTCTGACTGCACTGCTCGGCTTGAGAGCCTGTAATTAGACTGTTTCCCTGAGATGGTGTAATTACTGTAGTTGGGCAGCCCTGCCTGTCAGACAGGCACCTAAAATGAACAAAGTGTATAAAGTCCTACTAAAATTTTGACTCTATGGGGAACACAATGTTATGCCAAGAGTCCAATGAACTGTTCTTTTTTTTCCAGTCCAAGTCAGTTTTTGAAGGTGTTTGCTCTTGCAGTGAACAACGGTGAGTCTGGATGTGGTTTTAAATGCTGCTGTGTTGTTTGTTCAGCCTTGGGCAGCCTTCCTGCCTTTCTTTGCTTGAGCTTCGCCGCCGAAGGGTTTGCTTCTCCCAGCCGCGTTGCAGAGGTGTCGGTGAGAGCTAATGTAACCTGTATCTCGATCGTTAACTAACAGCCCTAATAAAGACTGCTAGTGTGCTGAAACTCAGGCTCCAGTAGGACTAGAAAGACAGCTTTGATCTTTTGTGAATACAAACGCAGAGCCCCCCCAGATTTCTGTGCTTTAGTTCCCTGTTCAGTAGAGTTGAATTCGGCTGTTCTGGTTGGCATGTTGCATATATCTGTCACAAACACGTCAGCGGCATGAGATCTGTGTGTTCCGGCACTCTGCTGAGCATGAAACCAGGTGTAAGTTGTGATTCTAATTTAATTTTTTTTTTCTCTCATACCCATGAAAGGAGAAATATACATACCACAGACGTTGTTGGTGATAAACCCCTGTAGTCATCTCTGGTTATTAAACTGAAAGAGTCTTTTTAAAATGTAACTTGTTGGTTCCTAATCTAACTGCTTTACTGTCTTGTGCTATTAAGCATTGAAATGAAAATGATGGCCTTATTTTCTGCTTATGGTTGTCTTTATGCTTCACAGGGATGGAACCCTGTTTCCTCTCCCCCCGCCCCCCTTTTTATTTAAAGTCTTTTGTAAAGCTCAAAAGCTCTAAGCATCCTTATAGTCTTTTGTTTTCCAGTTTTTAAGGTGAAATTTACTCTTGGATGTAATGCCATACTCCTAATGGAGCTCCTTTTAAGGTAGTCTTTTACAAGACTGAGAGTAACACAAGCTTGAAAGTCAGGCATTTCCCCCCCCCAAAAACCCCAACTAGTTAATGAAGAAGGTGTGAGGTTGAGGAAGCTTTCAGAGCAGGGCGCAAAGGCCAAGAGAAGGCAGCTCAGGGACTGCGACACGTCCCTTTCTCCGGGGCAGCTGGCTGAGCTTTGTCGGGAGCACCGCGGACTCGGTTGCTGCTAACCTTTTTTGTTGGGAACGGCATTTCTGCTACTGCCCTTTCTGTGCCCATCGTGGGATGGGCCTCTTGCACGCCCCATTTGGCTAACGCTCCCAATCCAGCTCCAGCCCAAGCCTAGTGAGCAGGCTGGAGGCGATTCTGATCATAAGAGGAGTTTGTACGATTGTGCCTTAACTGCTGCTCTGTTCCAGGCCAGACCGGGTTCGGACCAGGCAGAGGGACTGCTGTCTTCCAGGAGCCACGATCAAACTGGTGCAGTTGTGTCATAGGGATTTGCACGAGTGTCGACTCTGGAGTCTAATGAGAACCAAAGCGTCAATTTTAATCCCTCTTAATGCATCTGGTTTAGCAGAAACTGTAGATTCTTTATACTGGCACTGAAGCGCTCGTGCTTTTTTCTTTCCCCTGACATTAGACCTTTAGCAAAGCTTTGAAGTATCTTGGTTTGAGAGCTTTTACGTTCTTCAGGCTTTCTCGGAGCTGAGCATGATCTGTCAGGCCCATTACTTCTGAAAGACCTCTAGAAATGGTGCAGGCTGAGCACTAGTGATGGCTGAGGCTGAACGAGTTTCACAGTTCATTTCAGATAAGCACTCAAGTTTGGCTTGTCTTTGCAGGTGCTTAGACCTTCACTGTCAGCCTTGTCTGGTAGCAAATAAAAATTTCATCCTGCATGTGTTTGTAGGATTTTCTGGTTGGTGGCACCTAGAAATTTCAGCTTGAATTTTGACTGAAGAGTCCAGATAGCTTTCATTGAGTGCAGGGGATGTGGGACCGAGTCTCGTGCATATACACCTTCCCTCAAGCACACTTGGGACCTCAGTGCTACCAAGAGCTGAGGATGACTGAAGGTTTAGGGTGTATGAATTGCTGGATCTTATTTCACAGAATCCCAGACTGGTGAGGGTGGGAAGGGCCCTCTGGAGCTCCCCCATCCCACCCCCTGCCAGAGCAGGGGCACCTCCAGCAGTGGCACAGGACGGCATCCAGGCGGGTTTGGGATGGCTCCAGAGGGGGACACTCCCCCACCTCTCTGGGCAGCCTCTGCCACTGCTCTGCCGCCCTCACAGCAGAGAAGGCCCTCCTCAGGTGGAGATGGAACTGCCCATGGTCACGTTTGTGCCCGTTCCCTCTTGTCCTGTCACTGGGCACCACTGACAAAAGACTGTTCCCATCCCTCTGGCACCCTCCTTTTAAGTATAAGCATTGATAAGATCCCCCCTCAGTCTTCTCTTCTCCAGACTAAAAAGCTCCAAGTCCCTCAGCCTTTCCTCATAAGAAAGGCATTCCAGTCCCCTGATCATCTTTGTAGCCCTTTGCTGGACCCTCTCCAGCAGTTCCCTGTCCTTCTTAAACCAGGGAGCTCAGAACTGGGCTTATTTTGCAAGCTTATGTCCCCAGTCTTTTGCATGGTTTCTCTTTGAGCTTTACTTAACCTCTCCCTTTAACCTTCTGAGAGTTTTAATGAAGTCCATATGTCCTTATCTTTCTCTCCCCTGGGGCCTGGGCTGAAAGTTTGTGACGGGAGTTTGACACTGGGGTCAGCAAGAGTGGGGTCGCTGCTAGCTCATTCGCTTGGGTTGTCTTTGCTTCCTTTCAGGTGACAGTCACGTATTTAAGGCCCTTCTTGTGTATTACGGAGAGTTTGGCTGATCAAGGGTGTGCTGGAGAGCATGAGTGGGACAGTGAATTTCCAGCATCACCTGCTGCAATCGCCAGTTTTCCTTCTCCCAGCACAGCGAAGCGTTGCTGGAGGTCTGGCTTTGGCTTGACGGGCCGATGCCGGAATAAGAGCGTTCTTTGTTGCAGGTTTTATCGAGTTCAGTGCACGGCATGTCGGCCCCAGGAAGGCTGTGCGTGGAAGGGTTTGTAGATGCTTCCTGTTTATAGCCATGCTGTTTATACTGAACATACCCCAGGTGTCTGCTCACTGCTGGGTTCTGCTCCAGCAAAGGGCACGGCAGCAGCTGGGAAATTGAGTAATTTGCAAAGGCAGCTGCGTGGTCCCATAGGAGCTATTAGTGCCCTTGGTGGGACTCTCAGTGGTTGGACTGACTGCCTGTATCCAGGCACGTGGAGTTCTCATAGCACCAGGTACTAAAACATCAGTACCTCACTCATTTATTTCTTTTTCTTTTTTTTTTTTTTTGATAAAAGTATGACTTTGGCATCTTTCTTCAAAGCAGTGTTGGTCTCCTTTTATCCTTAAGCACCTACCACCACTCCTGTCTTTTTGTGCTTATTCACATTAGTGCTGCCACGCGAAATACCCTCTGGTGCTCTGATGGGACTGGGAGTAAGTGGGCATTGTAAAGGGGGATGAAGACATAGAATTGGTTCTTTATGTTGTGTGCAAGACCTGCAGAAACTGGGCAGCGTACAGGGATTTCGGTGCAGATTGCTTTTCCTGATGAGGAAGATGTGTAAGTAACGGGGTTGCTCAGGTTTTAACCTTCACCTAGCGTAAAACTGCAACCCAAGTCATGGTCCCAGATGTTTCCTTTTTTGTAAATGCCCTTTCCTGGTGTTTTAGCTGCCTTTTAGGATTTCTCCTCATACCAAAACCTCTTTTCCCTTGATTCACAGGCTCACCTTTACACAAGCAGGGTACCACCTCCACCGCCAGCGCCGAGAAGTCGGGTTCAAAGGTTGCCGAGGTGGGCGATGATTTCCTGGGAGACTTTGTGGTGGGCGAACGTGTCTGGGTAAATGGAGTGAAGCCAGGTGTGATCCAGTATCTTGGGGAGACGCAATTTGCTCCAGGCCAGTGGGCAGGGGTCGTTCTGGATGACCCGGTGGGTAAGAATGACGGCTCCGTCGGTGGAGTACGTTACTTTGAATGCCAGCCGCTGCAAGGGATTTTTACGCGACCGTCCAAGCTGACGCGGCAGCCGGTGGCCGAGGGCTCGGGGAGCGACGCCCCCTCCGTGGACTCCCTGACGGCTCAGAACTTGTCACTGCACTCGGGGACGGCCACGCCACCTCTCTCCACTCGCGTCATCCCCCTGCGGGAGAGCGTCCTCAACAGCGCCATGAAGACGGGGAACGAGTCTGGATCTAACCTCTCGGACAGTGGGTCTGTGAAAAAAGGGGAGAAGGACTTACGGCTTGGAGATCGTGTGCTGGTGAGTTGATCGCGGGCCCCCCCGAGAAAGGCAAAGGACAAGGGTTTGTCCCCTCTTTAAGTGTTCCTGGTCAGGCTTAGGGCAAGACAAAAGGGGGACAGAGTTGGTGGTGAGGTGTGGGACGGAGCTTGGCCTTGGAAGGGGATGCCTGGACCAAGCAGGCATTGAACTTCTGCATTCATTGTTATTTGGGATGCTGTGTCTTCTCTTTTTCAAATTGACGTGAGAGAACATATTCCAGAGTGTTTCTTGTATTGGACAAGTCCTGAGCAGTAGAATGAGGTCAGAGAGGCCAACTCAAACGTGGGAGGGAAATGGGAGAAAAATCATTGATTTATTATTTTCTAATCCAGTGGTACTCGCCATAATGGTGTGTGTTGGGGCTTTCAAGGAACTTGCAACAGGGTGTCTTGTTGCATGTGGTCGTACATATTCTGCAAGTATTTGCAAGACTGTCCCAGCTGATCACTCACCTTTTGGTGCTTCAGTTTTCATGTGTTGGAGATGACACTAACTCCTTTCCTGTACAGAGAGGAACTTGAAGTTTTTTTAATAACAGGGCAGGAGTTCAGGGGAGATCGCTATACTGATGGATGGGTTCTCCGCATCTGACTTCTGCTGTTTTCATTATCTAGAATAGAGTACCTGATGACTTTGAACCAAAATGCCACACTTGTGCTAAAAATGGCATACTGGAAGTTTGCCATCAAGCTCGTCACCATTTGTGTCCTAGCAAAGGAGTAGTGCTTTCAGTGGAGGTTTAGAAGGAAAAGAAACATATCAAAGCATGGAAAAAATGAGTTTTGTTTAGTGTGTGTGGTGCATATCAAATACTGGAGGAGCTGAGCATTTGAGCACGGATCTGTTGCAACTGCATCCCCATTAATATCCCTGGATCTAAAAGATAAAGGTGACTCTGGCCGGCAGCGATGACAGGTTGGTCTTTGCGCATCCTGGGCAATCTGGCTCCCATTTTAAGTTTATTGTTTCCTTCTTGGGGCATGGTTAATAAAGGCTTGGGCAGACCGGGGCTCCGCAGCCGATGTGAACCAGGAGTGTGTGTGGGGTGGGGGGGTGTAAGAGGCAGCCTCGAATGTCCTTTGTGGTCTCGGAGAGTGTTTTTTCCTGCTGGCGATAGCGGCACCCCTGGGCAGGCTGGGGCTCAAGCTGATGGGGTTGATTCCTTTGCTCTCCGCAGCCCCACGGGGACCGTGGGCAGCTGGGCCATGTCAGAGCAGCCTTAGGCTGGAGAGCACCGAGAGGCTGTGATGGACCATATGCATCTTCTGAGTCAACATTTCACATGCCACAACCTGCTTGAGGATTTTGGGATCTATTGTGTCCAAATGTCAGGCATCTCTGGCATTGCAAATACACTTTTGAAGCTAGCAATGTGCTTGCACACCAAAACACTGTTGGGTTGTCCAATAGTTTTCATTTTATTTAAATGAAATTTAAAACAATTTTAAGTTTGTTCATTTTCAGAGGAAAAAAAGCGAAGATGGGTTTTGCTTGCGCCCACTGGATGTGACACTTAGCAAACCTGGGGTGAACACGTGGGCTTGTAGACCTAGCTGTAGAGGTGAGAAAGTTTTATATTCTCAAATTTTCCCCAAAATGTGCATTGCATCCTGTATCGCAGCAAGGGCTGACAGCTGCTCAAGGGTTTGTCGCTTGTCTGTCGCCCTCCTGACTTCACGAGTCTGCCTCTCTTCCCTCCCCATCCCCGCTGTCAGCAACGCTGCTGCTGTCCCTGCTGGTCCCGGGCCAGCGGTGGGCAGGGGGAGGTGGCAGAGACATTCTCTGTGTACACACGCACCGGTGCTTCATTTTGGTGTGTTAAAGCAGCCAGACATGGGGAAAAATGAACTTGGGGAATTGTCCTCCTTTGATGAGTTTATTTGTTTGCTCCCGTTTTCTCCTCTGCCTGTCGCAGGGAGTGGGGAGAGTGATTAGGTGAGAACTCCCCATTTTTGGAGCAGCAAGTCAGAGAAGGTAAACTGCAAAATATAAAATCTATGGTGAACTTAGCTCTGTTCTTTCTGAACCAGCCAGGCAATGGATAGCATTCTCCAGACTTAGTTGTTTCACTCCTCTCCTGCCTGTGAGCTCACCGAGGCAGGGTCTGTCCACTTAATACTCTGCTTCCTGCAGTGGTACTCACACAGATTGAGATTTCAGCGTACCCATGCAACACAAACTGTTAGCATCTCTCCCTTTGGCTTCTGTTGAGTTGGTTTTGGGGGTGGTTTTGGTTGCTTTTTTGTTTGGTTGGTTTTAATGAAGGTGCATCCTTAAAAGCCCTCCCTCCCTGCCTGCGGATTTATCCACCCTGAATATTATAAGGTAAAATTTGTTAGTGTAATAAATAGCTCCAGAAGAGTGAATT